GATCGTTGCCCAACTAATATATTGAAGAAACATAAAGGAACAGCACATAGTGGAACCTCATTTTTTGTTCTATTTTACTTCTATCTTTTTTTGTAAATTTCAAACAGTTGCACCTTATTTAATATAGCTACATATATATATGTGTGTGTTCTTTAAAATAAATATTTTCTTATGTACAATATGTTTCTCTTGCATCGAATGTCAAGCGATTCGTATTCTTCTTGTTCATAATCATGTCTGCATGAGTTTTTAACTGATAGAGGACTATAAAGACAATATTCTTGTACATATAGACTTTGTGTCTTCGTTTGGTTGTTAACTATGGTTAAAGTATTGACATATGTAGATTATGAAGAGTGGAATACTTTTGCTTTGAGCTGTTTCCGTTCGAGCGTTTGTTGTGGTAAAAATTTTCACAATGATTATTGTACAGTTGAATGAGCAATTGCTTCTCGAAGTCGTTAAGACTTAGTTAAACTTTGCGGTTATTTTTTACCAATTTTGCTTCCCCAACTTCTTCAATCTCGTGTTTTTGCGCTTACCACGAGTGGAAATGTGTTGTTGAGAAAAATGGTGCTGTAGTTAAATGCACGGGTTTATAACCACTGCAAAATTCACCTTCATGCGGTGGGAAATAAGAGGTATAGTTTCCTGCTGTATTATGATATACAACTCCTTCTCTCATGTATATTGGGTAGTGAATGCCATGAGCCATACTCAGAGTATCAAAACTATCCTCTCCATGTTCACTTATGTGTCATTTTTGTTTTTATCTGCGATTTTGAAACCAAATTTTCACTTGTGTTCGAACCAGGCAAATCATTCTGGCAAGGTGTTTTCGTTTGGGCGCTAATAAATATCTTTGCTGACGAAATCTTCTTTCGAATTCAAACGTCTGAGCCTTCATGAAAAGGACGCGTCATTTTCGTTTCTTCTGTGTTGCTTTTATGCTTTCGTGCCGGGTTTCTGTGTCAGAGTTTGATAATGTTCTGATCGCTTGTTGAGCATCTGCTGTAGAAAAGATATTATGATTCGTTAATTTACAAAAGAAGTGAACAAATTATTTTAAATTATTCTCGCTATCACATGAAAATCCATGCCTTCCTTTCAAAAGCTCATCAAATGTAATTACATTATAAGAATACTTTCTTTGCCAGAACTACATATGAGTACTCGATGGCTTATCATACGAGCAAAAATTATTATTTCAACTTATTATCTTCCAAAAACTCGTTATGTTTAGCATATATAAGTGACTAGAGGAATTTAATTGAGCAGTAAAGTTGTAACCGCTTAGCTGTGGTCATTGATAATGACTTGTTTAAAGTCGTATCTCAAAACCCATTTTTGATGTCTGGCCTTACCTTTAAGGCTCGACTCCTATCTGTAAAGGTCATTGTTCACCGAAGTTGTAGATTGTCTTGTTCCTAGTTTATCCAGCGAAGATCCTTTTGAAAGGGACTCCATTGTGCGTTTTACATCGACTTTGGATTCTTCTTCCTTACTTTGAGGCATCCTCAATATGTCTCGCACAGAGTAGGCTGTCTTCCTTGCAGATGTTTCCATTATTTGATTGATTAAAGTACAGATAAATGATGTCTTTTTTCTTTTGAATGCTCTATATTCTTCAGTCGAAGATCTATATAGCTCCTTCCTGATTGAACGTCTAACGACCCTGCATAAGACAAGTCTTGAAAACACGACACTTTATCTTTAAGCTGAGAAGATAAGGTAATTGTTTAAAGAAGTAGTGGGACTTTGAGGCGTGTGTCATTTTGACACCTCGATAACTGACAATAAACATTTCATTGTCGACAACAGCAAATATGTCTTCTTCATACTGTGCTCACTACAGCCACTCGGAAGTGCAAATTGATGGCCTTTAACAAACGTGAAATGACTTAAGACCTGTGCCAATTTGAGTAGCTAAAAGGGTTCGTACTTCTCTTAATCTAAGTGAATTTCTTTATTTGTCTTCGGGCTAGAAATCGGAGTGTCCCATTTACTAAATTATTAGGAATCGTTATTCTTAACGTGCTTTTTGTTTAAAATACATTACTGCAATAAGCAGTTTAATTGATTAAAGTTTAAAAATAAACAAGCCTTTTTATTAGCGTATAGTAAAAACAAATTTTCTGATTAAACGACAGTTTGTGGAGGATTTTACTGCCGGTCCTTGTACGTGTAAGTTTTAAATCATATTTGTGTCGTTAACTGGCGTTATACATTTTTATTTCAAAAATCTTCTTCATATCTTACCAGAATTCCTGCATTGATAATAACAGACTTGTTCACCCACAAAGATAGTGTAAATACCGGATGTATATGAATATGATATGTGAAAAGGGTTTCTTTTAAAACCACCAGATCTAATCCTGGATTAGTTTTGAGCTTTCAAAATACTTTCAATGTGAAGTAATCCTTTGTGTAAGACGAATATTTTGCATAGTGTTGTGGCGTCAACGCGACGAAACTCTGGAAAAACTCTCAGATAGAAGACCTCAACATCTCTGAACTAAAATAGAAGTTCTCGTTGTTCTCTGTGTTAATGAAGAATCGTGCTATCTTAAACTGTATCCACATTATCAGAAGAGTACTAACTTTTTTATGTCTGTAAACCTGTCAACGTAGTTAGTGTCGATTTAAACTAACTTAAAATTTTATTTAGTTTTGCCCTAAGCTATTCTTTATGATAACATTTCATTTTTTAAATGCAAATTATGTTAAGCTTATGCTGTGTAAGACATCGAAAGACGTGAGCGCAATATTTATGGTCAAAATGATATATTTGTGGTGTCAACCATTTGAATGGTGACAATCGTTTCTATGGTGACAATCTTACCAATAGAGACCACCGTTATCTGTGGTGACAATCATGTTATGGTTTATTGACAACCTGACTTGTCTATGGTGACAACTACCATATTATTGACCTATTTAATCAATATTTCCAAATGGTTGTTAAGCTTAGTATTTAGATGGCAGTTTTGAATCTATTACCACAAAATTTACGACTGCATAAATTTTATTGATTGTTTGATTGATTGATATTATTGATTAGAGTCAAGATTACTCATTGGAACTCTACGTTAGGTGCCGTGTGTGTCCGGTCTGGCAGGCAGCGGATGTAAAATAGTGGCATAGGAAATGCGGAAGACTTCACGAAAATTACAAAGGAATCATCTTTGTGTTTTGTACTTGTGTTTATTCCTAATGATATGAATCATTAAATAATATGATTAAATGTTATTTTGACGTGAATGGATCAGTTGATGTACGGCGGCGAGTTTAAATTGATTTGTAATTATTTGTAGTGTCTAAAGCATTATGTATTCTCGAAAGCACCTGTTCTGTTATCTGCTGCATTTGGTTATGAGTTAACTTAAATACTGCCGAACTGTTGAAAAGAAACTATTTTTCAGGTATATATTGAAGCCATATCAGTATTTTCCACACAGTGAAGATATTTTCTCATTTTAGTGACTTTAACATTATTAAAGTTCAAGTACAAAAGTTCAAGTATAAAAGTATAAAAGTATAAAAAGTATAAAAGTAATATAAAAGTAAAAGTATGAAAAGTTCAAGTACAACAGACCCTGCTGAAAAACCTTTACAGGTATTTGACCTCTTCAATAAGCTACAAAATTGCATCAAATATCAATAATAATAGTGTTGATTTCAAGGCTAGTGTCAGTATATTTGTAACCATTCCTAAGAGTAAGTCATTCTTCATTAAGAAATCATTACACCATCATTCATTTCATTGTAAAGCTAGTTTTTCTACTTAAAACTTGCAAATATTTGGTTTTGCTTTGTATTGTAGTTAAGTTTAATGTTTGAGTAAAATTGTGGGTTAATTAACCCCCATATTTAGTGTATAAATGTATATGTGTTTACCTTAAATTACTTAGAAAATGAGAGTTTATTTGATGAATTGTTTAAAATGATGATACTAAAAACTAACGTATGTAAGTCTTATTATTAAAAACTGTATTTCCTATTCATCATGGTTCAAATTAACCTTTTGTATTTGTCTTATTCTTCTTCATCACAGATCTTATTACCAGTCAATTTTTTTGTACAACATTAACTACTCCATTATTGTTTTTCATATTTTCCCTAGAAGCAAACGGTTGTCATCAGTAAGGTGTCTTCCATATGGATGACTTTGAAGAAGACTTTCAATTCATCGATTATAAATTCCCACCAACATCCCCTACCATCAATAATATCGATGGTAAGGTGACATGTGACTTGACCAGCTATGATCCTTCTCCAGATTTTCCTGTGAACATTTATTCTCATCCTCAGCTGCAAGTTTTAAGATTTTTACCAACTACATTACGATCCCCATGAATTGGGCAGAATGGAAAACTTGGAACATTTGGTATTGTGTCGTAGAAAATGAAAATGAGGAAAGCCCTCCATTTATCATTCCAAATCTTTAGGTAATCTTAGCCAACTCAAGGTGTTGGATTTTGAAACAATAATTTGGGAACTTTTCCTGCGCATTTAACCAGGTTGATTAATCTCGAGGAGCTGTGTATCAGTAATTGTCAACTTACTGGCCTTCCTGAGCTTTTTGCTTATTTACAAAATCTGGAAATTCTTGATATAAGTTATAATTTATTGAAACATCTACCATCATGCGTTACAAGACTTTCAAATCTACGTAAACTTTATGTGCGACAGTGATCTACAGGATATCCCAGAAGATATCAAGAACTTGAAAAATTAGAGCGATTACAGCTTACAAAGAACAAACTTTCCACTCTTCCCAATGAACTTTTTGAGTTGATCAATTTGAAGAAGTTACATTTGAACAGCAATCTGTTGATGGCTTAACACGAGAATTTATTCAACCTTGTCAATTTGAGGCACTTGGTTCTTAATCAGAATAAATTAAAAACTCTACCAAGATCTATTGGCCAGTTAAAGGAGTTGCAATATCTTAATCTTCATGAGAATCTCTTGTCTTCCCTACCTCAAACATAAAACAC